GACTCAAATCCTGCAGTGCCAGACGTGTCCCCCTGCTTAAGCCAGTACATGTCCAGGCCCGTCTGAAGTTTGCTAGAGTGCATTTGGATGATCCAGAAGAGGATTGGGAGAATGTCATATGGTCAGATGAAACCAAAATAGAACTTTTTGGTAAAAACTCAACTTGTCGTGTTTGGAGGACAAAGAATGCTGAGTTGCATCCAAAGAACACCATACCTACTGTGAAGCAAGGGGGTGGAAACATCATGCTTTGGGGCTGTTTTTCTGCAAAGGGACCAGGACGACTGATCCGTGTAAAGGAAAGAATGAATGGGGCCATGTATCGTGAGATTTTGAGTGAAAACCTCCTTCCATCAGCAAGGGCATTGAAGATGAAACGTGGCTGGGTCTTTCAGCATGACAATGATCCCAAACACACCGCCCGGGCAACGAAGGAGTGGCTTCGTAAGTTATTTCAAGGTCCTGGAGTGGCCTAGCCAGTCTCCAGATCTCAACCCCATAGAAAATATTTGGAGGGAGTTGAAAGTCCGTGTTGCCCAGCGACAGCCCCAAAACATCACTGCTCTAGAGGAGATCTGCATGGAGGAATGGGCCAAAATAGTGTGTGAAAACCTTGTGAAGACTTACAGAAAACGTTTGACCTGTGTCATTGCCAACAAAGGGTATATAACAAAGTATTGAGAAACTTTTGTTATTGACCAAATACTTATTTTCCACCATAATTTGCAAATAAATTCATTAAAAATCCTACAATGTGATTTTTTTTCTCAATTTGCCTGTCATAGTTGACGTGTACCTATGATGAAAATTACAGGCCTCTCTCATATTTTTAAGTGGGAGAACTTCCACAATTGGTGGCTGACTAAATACTTTTTTTCCCCACTGTATGTGACTGAACAATAACAAAGGAGATTGTGTTGAAAAGTTGATCGAGAGAAAACCGTGTGGAATTGCGGATTGTGGAAATATTTGCCCGTCTTCCATGTCCTTGTTCAGCCCACCATGCTGAACGTTTCCATCTATACCTTGGAGCATGATGGTCTGTCAGGTGTGGCAGCCAGGTTGCATGCAAGGCCATTAATCAACAGGAAAACGCTCATCCAGATGCAGCGCTCCTAGTAGCCGGGGACTTTAATGCAGGGAAACTTAAATCCGTTCTACCTAATTTCTACCAGCATGTTAAATGTGCAACCAGAGGGAAAAAAACTCTAGACCACCTTTACTCCACACACAGAGACGCATACAAAGCTCTCCCTCGCCCTCCATTTGGCAAATCTGACCATAACTCTATCCTCCTGATTCCTGCTTATAAGCAAAAACTGAAGCAGGAAGCACCAGTGATTCGGTTAATAAAAAAGTGGTCAGATGACGCAGATGCTAAGCTACAGGACTGTTTTGCTAGCACAGACTGGAACATGTTCCGGGATTCTTCAGACAGCATTGAGGAGTACACCACATCAGTCACTGGCTTCATCAATAAGTGCATCGATGATGTCGTCCCCACAGTGACCGTACGTACATACCCCAACCAGAAGCCATGGATTACAGGAAACATCCGCACTGAGCTAAAGGGTAGAGCTGCCGCTTTCAAGGAACGGGACTCTAACCCGGACGCTTATAAGAAATCCCGCTATGACCTCCGACGAACCATCAAACAGGCAAAGAGTCAATACAGGTCTAAGATTGAATCATACTACACTGGCTCTGACGCTCGTCGGATGTGGCAGGGCTTGAAAACAATTACAGACTACAAAGGGAAGCACAGCCGCGAGCTGCCCAGTGACACAAGCCTACCAGACGAGCTAAACCACTTCTATGCTCGCTTCGAGGCAAGCAACACTGAAGCATGCATGAGAGCACCAGCTGTTCCGGACGACTATGTGATCACGCTCTCCGTAGCCGATGTGAGTAAGACTTTTAAGCAGGTCAACATTCACAAGGCCGCAGGGCCAGACGGATTACCAGGATGTGTACTCCGAGCATGTGCTGACCAACTGGCAAGTGTCTTCACTGACATTTTCAACATGTCCCTGACTGAGTCTGTAATACCAACATGTTTCAAGCAGACCACCATAGTCCCCGTGCCCAAGAACTCTAAGATAACCTGCCTAAATGACTACCGACCCGTAGCACTGACGTCTGTAGCCATGAAGTGCTTTGAAAGACTGGTCATGGCTCACATCAACAGCATAATCCCAGAAACCCTAGACCCACTCCAATTTGCATACCGCCCCAACAGATCCACAGATGATGCAATCTCTATCGCACTCCACACTGCCCTTTCCCACCTGGACAAGAGGAACACCTACGTGAGAATGCTATTCATTGACTACAGCTCAGCATTCAACACCATAGTGCCCTCTAAGCTCATCACTAAGCTAAGGATCCTGGGACTAAACACCTCCCTCTGCAACTGGATCCTGGACTTCCTGACGGGTCGCCCCCAGGTGGTAAGGGTAGGTAACAACACATCTGCCACACTGATCCTCAACACGGGGGCCCCTCAGGGGTGCGTGCTCAGTCCCCTCCTGTACTCTCTGTTCACCCATGACTGCATGGCCAGGCACGACTCCAACACCATCATTAAGTTTGCCGACGACACAACAGTGGTAGGCCTGATCACCGACAACGATGAGACAGCCTATAGGGAGGAGGTCAGAGATCTGGCCGTGTGGTGCCAGGACAACAACCTCTCCCTCAACGTGACCAAGACAAAGGAGATGATTGTGGACTACAGGAAAAAAAAGAGGACTGAGCACGCCCCCATTCTCATCGACGGGGCTGTAGTGGAACAGGTTGAGAGCTTCAAGTTCCTTGGTGTCCACATCACCAACGAACTATCATGGTCCAAACACACCAAGACAGTCGTGAAGAGGGCACGACAAAGCCTATTCCCCCTCAGGAGACTAAAAAGATTTGGCATGGGTCCTCAGATCCTCAAAAAATTATACAGCTGCACCATCGAGAGCATCCTGACTGGTTGCATCACCGCCTGGTATGGCAACTGCTTGGCCTCTGACCGCAAGGCACTACAGAGGGTAGTGCGTACGGCCCAGTACATCACTGGGGCAAAGCTCCCTGCCATCCAGGACCTCTATACCAGGCGGTGTCAGAGGAAGGCCCTCAAAATTGTCAAAGACTCCAGCCACCCTAGTCATAGACTGTTCTCTCTGCTACCGCACGGCAAGCGGTACCGGAGTGCCAAGTCTAGGTCCAAAAGACTTCTCAACAGCTTCTACCCCCAAGCCATAAGACTCCTGAACAGCTAATCATGGCTACCCGGACTATTTGCACTGCCCCCCCACCCCATCCTTTTTACGCTGCTGCTACTCTGTTAAGTATTTATGCATAGTCACTTTAACTCTACCCACATGTACATATTACCTCAACTACCTCAACTAGCCGGTGCCCCCGCACATTGACTCTGCAACGGTACCCCCCTGTATATATAGCCTCCCTACTGTCACTTTATTTTACTGTATATATAGCCTCCCTACTGTCACTTTATTTTACTGTATATATAGCCTCCCTACTGTCACTTTATTTTACTTCTGCTCTTTTTTTCTCAACACTTTTTTTTGTTGTTGTTTTATTCTTACTTTTTTTTGTTTAAAATAAATGCACTGTTGGTTAAGGGCTGTAAGTAAGCATTTCACTGCAATGTCTGCACCTGTTGTATTCGGCGCATGTGACCAATAAAATTTGATTTGATTTGATTTGAGGATGCATGTATCTGCATGTTTGCAGAGAGAAAAAGTAGCTGTGCGCTTGTGTGGGTGTCTCATCAATGTTTCAGTCAAGGACAAGTTTATACCAATGAAAGGACTCCTTCAAGTCAGATCTGGGGAGAGCCAAATGCTATTTGAGATCCATTACATTGTTTAGATTGGACTATGCAGACAATTGAATCTAACAACTTCAGCCAAGAACTGTGTTCTCATTCTTCGCACAGTCTCATTCAATTGACTGAGTCAGACCTCCAGGTCACTCTGAGGCGAAGACTGTGAGGTTGTTATAATGTGAGGAAGTGCATCCTGTAGAAACCTCTCTAAGATGACATTGAACCTTCAGAGGGCCTTGAATCTTCACTATTGGCAACATTTTTAGGCCACACACAGCAATACTTCATCCAAAATGAGTTCAGAAAACGGCAGTTTAAGATTGCATTGTGTGCTATACATTTTGTGTAGCCTACTTTATGAAATCCCCTATAATTTATCCTATCGGCCCCAGTGGATGCTGCTGTGAGGTAGCAGTAAGGATTGTATGAGATGGGAGGATACTTTGCAGGTGAGCCCCACCCTCTCCTGTTGCACACACCGCTAACAGAGAGAGCAGAAAACACACCTGGACAACCCAAACCTGTGAGATATTCACATTATAACACATATGCAAAAAAGAGAAAGGTAAGAAATGTCACTTTATTAAACGCATACGTATTCTAAAGTGCTTAGAACCTACCACTGCTCACTTTAGAAGAGTTTGGAAGAAATCCATTTGTCAGTTTAGAACCATACCACTTGTCTTTAGAATGGTAAGGAAACCTCTCCGTTGTCAAGTGTGGATTCAATGGGAATAGACATGAAATTCAGCACTTGTATGCATCTAAAGTTAAGTCAAGCATTATGCACCAAAGCATTTGGAAATGCCAGTATTGGAAAATGATTTGTCAATAACCAAACAAAAACAGAATGAAAAGCATTTACTCTTGTTGAAAGTAGGTAGTAGGTGCTGATGTTAACTGAGGTCCAGTTCAGGCTTTATGATAATGCAGAAGACAAACTGATTAACTCAATTTGACAAAACAACTGAAGTAGACACATTGGATTTGTCGCTGAAACCTGCAGAAAATTCTAATGCATTTATATTTGAATGATGATTAGAAAGGCCTACAACAGGCTGCATGGAGGCTGGGTGTGAAGAGGGGTTTCAGGCTCTGACCACCCAAGTTGGATCCGCGTAAACATTATCTTTTTATTTAATATTTTTCTTTGACATAGGTTCTCCTGATGTCACTTCTCCCCTGCGTCTCCAGAGGGTCTCTCCCATGATGAACCTGACCTGTGCTATTCTACTTCTCTCTCTGGTGTCGCTAGTCCACGGTGCCTACTCTCTCGATGGGAGGAACAGAGACCTCTATGGTAGGATATCATGCCAAGCTGTAGCTCAGTAGCCTTGCTCTCCTGCCTACTCTTTTTTACTCAGCAAGATGTTATGCCAATGCTTAATATCCGTTGAACGTTCGCCAAAGCAAGGCATAAAACACAAGAATCATTCACGTTGCCAAGCGAAAGAAAGGGTGGTACATTTTCATTTAGATGCACTTTAAAGGGCAACTCCACCACATTTCGACTTCATTTTCAGTATCTCCAGCACCGTACCATTGTCAACACGTGAAAACAGCACATGCCTAAATTTTGTAGAAAAAATATATAAAGTTAAAACGTTCTACCCGATGACATCATCAAAAGTTAAAACATTTTTTTTAAACAGTGATTTTCAAACACTATGAGATTCTGGCTAGAAACTCGTTGCAGGTTTTGAAAATCACTGTTTTTTAAAAACGTATAATCTTACCCAGTGATGTCACAGAGAAGCATTTCTTAGGAGCTTTAATCTGAACCTTTTAACCACAGATCATGGAAATGCGTCGTTTTCACACATATAGACAGTTGTTTTGTGCTGGAGATTATATGTGAGGTTGGAAAGTGGCACAATTGCCCTTTAAATTGCATTTATTAACCAAACCCAAATGGGGGTCAGTAAATCTTGTTGTCAGTCAATGTCATCTGAGCAGTCATTAAATAGGAGGTTGCATGTCTTTTTCTACTACAAAATGTTGATATATGGAGTCCCTGTGTAGTAAGACATCTTTGGATTGAACTTTTTTTAACTTTCTCAGAGTCACCACCAGACATCTCTCTCTATGTCTGCAAACGGCTAAAGCTTTGTTCACACTGCAGGCCTTAATGCTCAAATCAGTTTTATTTTCAAATCCGTTCTGGAAAACTGACTGTCCAAACACTGTGACCAAATTGGATTTGTGTTCAGACAGCAGTCTACAATTGAGTACAATTGAGTATTTTTTCCACCAGTGTACTTAAGTACATTTAAAACCAGATACTTTTAGACTTTTACTCAAGTAGTATTTTACTGGGTGACTTTCACTTTTACTTGAATCATTTTCTATTAAGGATTCTATAAGGAGATGTCATCCCATTTGAAATAGGCCCTTTGCTTAGTTGGCTATAAAGAAGCAGTTCTTCAGAAATTCTTGAGAATTGAGCTCCACCAGTGGGAGTTCCACATAATGTTTGTTCATGTTGTTTTTTCTTTCTTCATAGTCCCTTTCTTTTTGTGCCAGAGTACATTTTCATAATATGTGTTGAAAACTGTCCTGAAGTTGAATTTAACCAGAACAGTCATTGTAATGAAAAATAAGCCTATGTTTCAGTATCCAGACAAAATAAATAAAAACTATATTGAACACAGTCTCACCATTTTTGGGGTGTTTTTTTTATGCCATGTCAAATCTAACATTATCCTCCCCCCCTGTTGCCCCAGACTGCCCAGCGGACATGTACATTGTTCTGGACACCTCAGAGAGTGTGGCGCTGAGAGCCCTATGGCTCCTTTGTTGAACAGATCAAGCAGTTTGCCCTGGACATTGTGGACCAGCTCAACACTAGGTGTGTATCACCTCCATACTGACTACATGACTGGTATTCATAAAAATATCATGTGGTTAACAATGGGTGTTTTCAGGTCCCTTACTTCAAATAATTCATGACAATTGGCAAATTAAAGGTAAGTTATGCTACATAGTAATGATTATGGCTAGCTTGCCAAGAGAAATAAAGTGCCGCGTTAGCTACAAGGCTTCTGGGAAACTCGTGCCTGACCGTTTATTCACCCCTGAAACTGTAACGCAGGCCAAACAATATCAATCCTCCTACAGAGGCTTCCATTGGCATACATCCTGTTTCATTCCATAAACCACTCTCTGTGATCATTATAAAAAATAGTCATATTGTACCAGTAAATTCACCACACACTCAGACCCACCCTGATAAACTGCACACAGAATGACCATTGATAACTGCTCTGGGCAACAGTGTTCTCCTGACAATGTGTTGTTAACGATCATCACAGGAGGTCTGCCTCACTACATGCAGTCTTATGAACACGTTGTGTGTTGACCTCTGTGTGAACTGTGGTTCTACAGTGATGAATCGGGGCTGAGAGGTAGTGTATGAGAACAGCTCCTCTCCTTATATGGTGCTCAAGGTTGCATTAATACTCTGCTCTTGGACAGACAGGGGAACAATCACAAGCATACATAAACATGTGCCCCCCCCCCCCACACACACACACACACTCATACACACACATAAAGACACACACACACAAGGACACACACACATAAAGAAACACATACACACACTCCTTTAGAGACAGCAAATTATCTATTATAAATCGTATTAGACTTGCTTTTGCCATCACACTGTTCAGAAACAGTGCAACTATTACGAAAAAAATATTTTATCTGTATTTTCTGTGGCCCACAACGATACGTTTCATCACTGAATGCAAGCAAAAAACTAAAAAAACAGCCTGTGTGTGTGTGTGTCAGTGTGTGTGTGTGTGTGTGTGTGTGTGTGTGTGTGTGTGTGTGTGTGTGTGTGTGTGTGTGTGTGTGTGTGTGTGTGTGTGTGTGTACTACTCACTAACAAGCTCAGACAGGCAGCCAGAGTGACGAGTGACTGTGCGTGTTTGTTCAATGCAGCCATTCTGAATCATTCGCCCAGAAAAGGTTTGGGGTTTACCTTTGGGGCACTGACCTGCATTCCTGACTGAGAGAGAGGTTGATATCTTATCTCCATCAAATGAAGTCTCACCTTACAGCTCAGGAGTTGTCCTCCTGAAGTTCCAAGGTGTGGACCTGATTAATGACGTCTTCACATGATAAGAATGATACATATAAGAGTAGATCCCTCACACACACTTTCAGTCCCGCAGGCACACAGGGAGCTTAGTCGTTATCTGCAGTGTATTGAATTGGGGCCTATGTTTCGGAAAAGCCCTGTAATTCAAGATGTTGTTATACAATAAAATACCATCTGCTCAATGTTTATAAAGCAAGGATAAATGTTTGCACTGACCCCAAGTATGCCAATTGCTAATGCATCATGGAGTATCCCCTAACGTGTCTCTGACTCATCAGAACTCCTTTGCAAAACAGCCAAAATATGTTTATATATTTCTTAACACAATTATAGCCATTAGTGATGTGATGCCACTAAAGTATGCAAAATGCTAATGCCCTAAAGTGTAAAAAGCCAAAGAATGCCTAGCTCTAGACAGCGTCTGGTTCTTTGCACAGTTGGTTGAGTATTTATGTATCTTTTATTGACTTCATCAGAATAGCAACTGCCTGATGATTTGATTGTGTACTGGAGGAAATAGCAGGAGGACGATTGGTGCAAATGTGCTTGGGGCTTGGCAAGACGACACACTTGTAATAGATTTGTTCTATCAGGTTTTAGTACCACTGTCTCCCCACTGGGAATCAATACATCATTCCCATTAAATAACTCTCCGCCTTATAATCTGTCATCATTTTCTCAAAGTACTGAAGACTGTAAATGAAATACTGCTAATTTAGGGGAATTGTCCCTGTAGATACCTGTGCATGTAGATCAGAGGTAACTTGCTTTGTGTCACGCTTTGTGTGCCATTGTGACATAGGTCTACCTGTACACATCTAGATACCACCGCTGTGAGCGTAACCTGACGTGGAGCGTGGGACTGCTGCAGTACAGTGATGAGGTAAAGGTGATGAGGGAGCTGACCAGCACCAAGGCCCAAGGCAGAGCTCAGCTGAAGAGAGCCATACAGGACATCCGCTACATCGGCAAGGGCACCCACACCGACTGGGCCATCTCTGTAGCAACTAGGCAGCTGATGACG